CAGGTCGGCGGCGGGGCGCCGGATCCGGGAGCCCGAAGGTGAGCTGGGCCCAGGTGGGGGGGTTGCGGCGTCCGAGGGGGCCCTGGGCCGGGGGCGGCGGCATCCATGGGGTCCCTGTTACCCCTGGGAGATCCCCAGCACTGGAGGTATCCGTGAGGTCCCCGGTATTCTCGGGGTCCCAGGTATGGGGCTCCCGAGGGTCCAGAGCGCAGAGGTGCGCACCCTGCCTGGGCCTGAGTGGAGTCCGCGATGGACATCGTGTGCCTAGGCCGAGCAGAGACCAGGGGAACGCGCCCGAGGCCGGGGTCGACCGGGGCCTGTCCACCGCCCAGGGTGGCCATGGCAGGGGTAGGACCTGACCTGTCCACCGCCCGAGGCGGCCATCACCGGGGCAGGACCTGACCTGTCCACCGCCAGAGGTGGCCATGACCACGGTAGGACCTGGCCTGTCCACCGCCCGAGGCAGACATGGCCACGGTAGGACCTGGCCTGTCCTCCGCCAAAGGTGGCCATGGCCATGGTAGGACCTGGCCTGTCCACCGCCTGAGGTGACCATGGCCACGGTAGGACCTGGCCTGTCCACCACCCGAGGCAGACATGGCCACGGTAGGACCTGGCCTGTCCACCGCCCGAGGCAGACATGGCCACGGCAGGACCTGGCCTGTCCTCCGTGCCTGGCTGCAGTCTCCGGATGGGGAGGGCGTGGACCTGTCCACCCTGGAGCTGGAAAGCCTGCCCAGGCTGACCTGCCGGGCTGTTCCTCCCCAGAGCACCCGGCCTTTGTTCCAGGGAGAGCCTTGGTGCCGAAAACGCGCTGCCTTTGTAGATGCTCCCCAACATCACAAGTAGAAATAACGGACATTTTAAATTTTTTCTTATGTGGTATATATTGTGTATTTATTATATAATATTTTATGTATCCAGTATCCATTACATATAATATTATATAGTTTGTATATTTATTTTTACATAGATGGGTGAAAATAAATATACAAAGTCAAATATATCCCATGTGTTCTGTATTTGGGGGAAGAAATAGATAATAATGCAGGATATAAAATAGAACCAGAATAGAAATAACATAGACTATTTCCTCATTAAGCAGAAACATCACAGCCAGGATGCCGTGATGTGGCTATTATATATTCATAATATAATGCTTGTGTGCATTAGACTATACCAAACATTGTTAAGCTGGGTGCCAGTAGTTCACACCAGTAATCCTAGCTACTCAAGAGTCTGAGATCTGAGGGTTGAAGTTCAAAGCCAGACTAGGCAGGAAAGTCTTATTTCCAATTAACCAGAAAAGGGCAAAAATTGAGCTGTGGCTCAAGTGGTAGAGCACTAACCCTGAGCAAAAATGCTCAGAGACAGCACCCAGGCCAAGAGTTCAAGTCTCAGGACCAGCACACAAAAAAAAGAAAACTAAAAATTCATGTGAATAAGGTCAAAGTCGATCCATCTAACGCCCGTGGTAAATAGCTGAATAATCTACTCACTGTTGATTCCTCAAGGAAGCTAATTGTCTGTTTAGCTAACAATTTCTCCTTAATTATAGACTATTAATAAATAAAATGGTACTTGTCAGGAGCAACAGAATGTCTGAATTTCACAAGTCATGTTTCAGTCCCGTGATCAAAACGGTCTCTAAAAGAAAAATCATTAAATGAACAAATTTGCTTTTAGAAGTAAAGCTTTATTAAAACCTCTTAAACCCCATTTTACTGTAGATAGGAATGAGGTAAATTTGCCATGACTTTATTTTGTTCAGAGTATTGAAGTTAATGAGCTTCTAGACAGACCCCTTTCTTAGCACATCTCAGGTCGGAGAATGTAAAGGCTCCTAGACTCAGATTTTCTAACTACATTTCCCATGACAGCCTGAGCCAATATTTGGAGAATCCTAAGTATGGCGCTACCATTTCAAAGGAAATATCATGACTTCTATTTTCCTAATGTGTGCTTTTACAGAATACGTTTTTGTTCTTAAATGTATCCTTGGGTTTGAACTCAGATCCTCCAGTTTGGCTTGTGCTTTTACCACTTGAACCATGCCTCAAGCTTGGCTTTTGGCTAGAAACTTTGGAGATGGACTCTTGTGGACTTTGATGCTTTGTCTGGCTTCCAGCCATGATCCTCTGGATCTTGGTCTTCTGAGTAGCTAGGAGTACATGCATGAGCCACTGTTCCCCAGCTCGGGGTACTTTTCCACTTGGAAAGGTCAGTCGGAACCATTGGTGAGTTAGATTGTAATCGCAGAAAACTTAGCCATGTGGAGTCCAGGAGAACTGTGTGAGGACACATCCAAGGGCCAGAGCTGTGCCATTCTTCATACCCTGAGGTGGGGACGGGTTTTCCGGCTTGCGTGGGCAGATCTAGCAGGTTAGACTTTGAGAACCAGAAAAGCGTTTGTTAAAGCCAAGATGGAGCATCTCATACGATGATGAAGTTTGATCCCAAGGTGGATAATTCATTTTCTTCTGAATGAACTGGATGCCTGTTATTCATGGTTTTTGGTGGTTTACTAGAGCCTTGGGATTTCTTTCTGAGCGAGTTTTACATCTTCTCCTTTGTCCTCTTGATATTTAAAGGCAGTCTTCTTTCCACTTGAAATAGCTCCCTTATCAGATCACCTAGTGAATGACTAATTCACCCTGAAGACCCCTAAATCGATTGTGGCTCCGTTCGCACCCCATGATGGGAGGAAAGATCGTTCACCAAGTTTTATGGATGGGTTCAAAGTGTTTCTCTTACTTCTTGAAGATGAAAACACCCATAATTCCATTGGGGTATGGGCAGCCCGGTTCTGTGTGGATCCTCTCCACTGCTGGTCCAGACAGCGACATGGAGGGCTTAACACACCCGTGCTCCCTGGCACTGGCCGCTGGCTGGGCCATTTGAGGCACAGTGACACACACACTCAAAGGAGGCAGCACAGTAACCAGTGTGACGGCAGTGCAAAACCTGTGGTGTGTCCCCTCGACACTGCCTGCGTAGCCTGTGGTGTCCACACAACAATGCCCGTTTTACAGGAGGGACCCTGATTTGCTCCAAGTCGTTCCAGAACCCAAGAGCTTTGTCCCTTGGGGCTCTTCCTTACCTCCACCCCCAGGACCCCACAGCCTCAGACCGCAGAGGACAAAGCAGGCAAACGCCTTTGGGTGCTCATTTGCTCACTGAGGTACATAAGAAAGACACGTAGGGTTTGGGTGGTGAAAAACCACCCCAGAGACTCTATGAACTGGCAGGTTGTAGGCATTTTACAGATTGCAGATATGGATATATTTCTGGAATCCAGCAAAAGGCTTTCTTGATATAGAAGACTGCACTAATGGACAGTTTTTGTATTGAACCTCATCTCATGAGTGATACTGTTGTAGTAGTCATGTCTGATTGCTCAGTGTAAAAACACATGAAGCCTAATTCAAATGGAAAATTCAGATGGAAAATTCAAATGGAGACAGAGGAGAGCGTGTGGCAGACCAGGCCACCAGGGAGCCCCACTGCCCAGCTCATCCCTGGGCTGAGGCTTCCTGAAGGATGAGAGATCCCAAGCCAGCCCTTCTCCACCCACTGACGGGCTGGCAGAGTCCAGCAGTAAAAGGAAGAAAACCAGCACGAAGAAAGAGGTCAAATCCCAGGACACTGAGAAAAGAATTCAGTTTCATCACTTCCTGAGACAAAGCATCCCAAACCTATAAGATGGAACTGGGTCGTTTATAACAATACCAGCAACATTTAAATTATAGCTAATATATGGTAGCAATTATCTAAGCTACCATATTTCTTTTCCATATTGTAAGTAAATTAAATAGTTGATTAGTGGGGGAAAAAGACTAAAAAATCCAACTGTTATGTCCAAACATATTTAAATCCAAGAGACTTTCATCTCCAGTTAACCACCAAAATGCAGGAAGTAGAGAGTTGTGGCTCTAGCTGTAGAGTGAGTATAGCCAAGGGATAGAACCCAGACCCTAAGTTCAAGTCCCAGTACCAGCACACACACACACACACACACACACACACACACACACACACACACACACACACACACACACACACGCTCCTAAGCTAAATGGAAAAAAAAGACAAAGCTTTTCCATTGGGAAGTCAGCATGCTATATAAATAAATTTTTAGGATGTGGAATTTGGATTTTAGAGGGATCCTTTTTAGAGTTTACCTTAGGGAAACTTTGGAGGACACTGAGAAGAGGCTAATGAGTTCTCTGAGGCCAGGCCTGCACCGTCTCTCCTCCCACCCACTTCTCTTGTCAGGAATTGGGCAGGGGAAGTGCTAGCCACTGTCAAAACTTTTATTAGTAGCTAGCACTGATGTTCTTTATAAATGTTCTTTGAGAGAAGATACGTTCTACGCTGCGTTAACTAGAAGAGAGAAGACAGTGCATTTCACGGCTATCCTGGACCCCAGCAACTAAATTATGAATTTTATTATTATAAACAAAATGGTTCTCAAGGATGGAAGACCTTCAACATGGCTTCAGTCAGTCCCAGGCATAGACATCTGATAGATGTGACCACTCTGCAACGGAAAAGAAATACAGATTTCTAAGCCTGGCATGGTGGTACACACCTGTAATCCCAGCGCTTGGGAGAGTGAGGCAGGAGGCTCACACATTTGAAGCTACCTGGTCTACATAGCATGTTCTAGGCAAGCATGTGCTATCAATTTGGACCTTGTCTCAAAAACAATGATTGATTTCTAAATATGAATCCAAACAGATACAGACGTTGAAGGTCAAAGTTCAAAAGGAATGGTCCCATCTGAAATTCAGAAAGCAATACAGAGGCGTCGAGGTCACTAATTTATGACCTACGTGCTCTTCTGCCACCTTGAGTGCACTTAACCTGCACATCGTTTAATAACCAGAAGACCTATGCTTCCGCTCCACGGAGACTCTACTCCATTCCAGGCAGAAATCCATGCCTCAGTCAAGCATGGATTTCAAATGTCCGTGCTCTGCTCTCCACACAATCATCGGTTAACCTCTGAGCCATTCGAGTCAAATTGCAGCCTTCGAAGTCGGTCTGACGTACTCAGACCGCAGGTGCAGAGGCAAGGTGGTGAAACCGTTCGGCTTCTTGCCCAAGGGCTCAGATCTTACTGTGTTTCTCCTGTGCCAAAGAGTTCATGCCTCTCACCCCACCCTGCCGATGAGCTGCCTCTGTGGTGTGTGTGTGTGTGTGTGTGTGTGTGTGTGTGTATCCCAAAGGCTCAGGAAAATTTAGAAGGGTATGGACAGAAAAACACAGTGTTTACTGCTGCGTGCTCCTCCTGGATCTGCACATGTGAAAGCATGCCTTTGCATTCTAGAGACATGTCAGAACCACACTAAATTCTCCTTGGTTTCTGAGGGAGGAAGTCTGTTGGGGAGGTAGATTAGCATCCTTGGAGAAGGATGTCCAGCACTCCCCACGGAGCAGGCGCTGAGCAGGGAGGGGCTGCCCACCCCCATCCCAGAGGGGGCCAAAAGAGGAGGGGCTTTTACCTCAGAACCCCTCCCCACAGGAGACAAGGAGATTTCCTCTCTTTTTTTCACCCCTCTGCAACAAGCAGAGTGTCTGGGCTTGGGAACTGGAGCTATACGTTGGTTTCACAGTTTCTAATTCTCCAATGCCTACTAAAAATAACACTTGGCTGATATTTTGCACTTCCTCGATAAGCTTTGAATTTCTATACACTTAACCAGCAGCCTTACCAATGTTAAGAGTTTAGATCTCCTAATGTCTATATTCTTTTACAAAGATTTCTGTGAGTCCTCAGTATTTGCTGATACTTGTCTCACAGTTTACTACGCTTTTTTTTCTTTTCTTTTCATTTTTTTTTTTGTTGGTTGTGGGGCTTGAACTCTGGGCCTGAGCGCTGTCTCACAAGTCTTCAGCTCAAGGCTAGCACTCTACCACTTGAGCTACAGCGCCACTTCCGGTTTCCTGGTGGTTTGTTGGAGATAAAAGTTTCACGGACTTTCCTTTCCTCTGAACCGCAATCCTCCGATCTCAGCCTCCTGAGTAGCTAGGATTACAGGCGTGAGCCACCAGCACCAGGCTTTACTACACTTTCTGTCTGTAAATTCCCAAGAATTCATAGAAGGAAGTTGTGCCATCAGACTTGCAAGGACTGGCAGTCCTCTGGTGAGCATTTGCTTAGTATAATTCCCAGGGCTGTTCCTGAAATCTAAAACAACAGGAAGGCAGAGGCCTCTGTTACATCCCTGCAACAAAGGACTGAACTGACACTTGATGGGGGAAAATGACTTCTCCCATAATCACAAAAACTCACCTACCCCAGAGTCAGGAGTCAAACACACATCTCTTTTTTCCCCAACTCCAAATTCTTTTTATGTCTCTTTCTAAGTCTCTGAAAACAATTAAAATAATGGTATAAGGATGATCCCCAAGTCAAACACAAGATTCATGATGAGGACAGAGTTGGAAAGGGTCAGCAGAGAAAACCTTTCCCTCCCTCCGTCAGTGCTTGTGCAAGCCATCTGCGGGCATAGTTTCAGCTGTGAGAATGTCCTGAGGGACCACTGTCTGCTCCTCTCATTCTTCCCGCATCCATCCTTTCTGTGTACCAGTGCCAGATGTGTCCCTGGTCCCCATAGGGACCTGTGAGACACAAGGGTACAGCAGAACCATCCTCCACACTTCATGCCGGCCTGCCCCCAACCTCTGTGTCCTTCCTCCTCACCAAGGACCTGACCGGGCACTGAGAGGCCACCATTTGCAAAAGGCTCACCTAGCATCCTACATGTGTTTGAGTCCTGCTGCAGTGAGACCCCATCTCATGAGTGGGGTGTCGGAGATGAAGCAAGCATTGACTGATCCCCAGTCTGTGCCAGGACCCCTACCCAGGACGGAAGAGTGACCAGCAGTGACCTTCATGAGGGAGGGTGGAAGTCACTGGTCTCTTCCTGGGGTCACAGCACTGTGGGATTCCACCCAGCCCAGGAACAAAACCAAATGGGAGGGTCCAACAATCACATGTTTAGATCGATCAATCTGGTCAAAAAGTTGTCCTCAGCCTGGTGTGAAGTATCCTGGAAAATTGCCTTAACGTATTGTCTACAGGTCTGCAGCTGTTAGCATAGAAACCAGACCCACGCTAAGCATCCAGCTTAAGTAGCTCATCATTTCAGATGAGCCAAATGCAGCAGCAGAGACACTGTGACAGTAGTGTCCTGAGATGCACTGTCAGCCAGAGAGCCCCTGTACCTGAAGTTCCAAAAAGAACATGGAAAGGCAGGCTGTTCCGAAGCACACGCCCTGTCCTAAGCAGGAGATGCTGCTGTGCTGTCCTCCATTAAACCAGCAACTGTTGTGTATTGTGTGTTGGCACACTGGCTTGTAAATTAAACTCCCACTGCATACTGAAGAGAAAAGGTGCTGGGTCCTCCTAGTCTCTCCTAGCAATCCTTATAGGCAAATAAAGACCTGGCTGAGAGTCTACATCTCCTTATTTCCTGGGGTAGTCTTCCTTATTTCCTGGGGTAGTCTTCCTTATTTCCTGGGGTAGTCTTCCTTTTGTCTTGGAGTTTCTTCCTTTTGTAAAGAAATACTCAGATCCACGGCTTGAGGGGCTTTTTCCTCCAGAGGGTCTGGGTACTCTCTCCCTCTCCCCTTCCCTCCTTCCTTTCCTCCCTCCCCCTCTCTCTCCACTTCTCCTGAAGACAAAATTGGAAGACAAAAACAGATTTTTCAATTGCCAATTGGCATTTGGATTCTATAGGGCTGGTTTGAATCACTTATATGATGACTACTTCCTAGGTAACCCAGAAAGCTGCACAGCCTCTGAGAGCGGCTGTATTCAATATCACTTCACCCCCTGCCTTCTTGCATGAGTCAGCAGCCACCGCCTCCCTCTGCGGGTGGCGTGCAAGGTGTCCCGAGAGCCAGCTACTTGGCCTCGGTTTCTCCTTGAAATGGGCAGTCCTCTTACCAGTGCCCCAGCACAGGCCATGTGCAGCTAAACACACATGTTGATGGTAGGATGATAAACAAGGCCCTGCTTCATTTCTTTCCTGCACAGTCGGTAGGTTCTAAACTATGCACAGTGGCTGCCCGGAGCACGAGCTGCATGGGCTGATGGGCCCTGGGCCCCCAGGACCACGGTACCCGAGAATGTATGCTTCACTCCAAGTCCCTATACTCTCCCAAATGAGCTTCTTATCTCAAACCCTGGCTCATGACCCAACACAATCCTCCCAAAGATGTTTCCATTTGAAAGGAAGAAAGGATTTTCACTTGTACAACTGGTGCAAGAAAGAACGTGTGTGTGTGTGTGTGTGTGTGTGTGTGTGTGTGTGTGTGTGTGTGTATGGTTGCAGTATTGATTTCATCCAGAGAAGCAACCAAAGCCCCAGCAATGAACTATTTGTCCTTTGGTGGAACTGCTCTTCCTTCTCTGGAATTCTCAGGTTAGACCACCTGCCCGTGGCTGGGTTTTACAGCAGGACAGAGAAGACACAGACAAGATGAACAACCGATTTAAAGCAGCATGCCCCGTGATCGATCCCTGCAAACACTTCACAGTGATCTTCAAAAGTAAATAACCAGTGCCCGACAGCAGATTCTACAGAGGAAAATCCAGTCTTCTAAAAATGTTTGAGCATTGTATTGACTTGTCCCTTAGTATTCAATTACCTCTCTCTATTGCTAGTAATACAGTCCTCTGAGATCTTCAATAGATGGATTGTCTTCAGTCCTTTGAAAAATGGAACCCACCGTGGCTAACTCTCCAGCTCTTCGCTTGTTCCCAGTTACTACCAGAGTGTTTACGTACCTCCTCCCCTTCCCACTAGAGTTTAGTCTGCATCACAGGAGTGCGTGACACCCCAGACAGAGGGCTGCATTGCTAAACATGATTTTATACATGCAGTTGTGGTTCAGTGAGAAGCAGAGATCTCTGCTATTCCTTCAACCAAGGCTTAAAAACCATCTCTGACTTAGGAGGAAAGTGCCTCCCTCATCTACAGATGGTAATGTAAGACCTTGAAATGTCTTTTTAATCTGATGATTATTAGAAAACCTGGTGAGTTGGCCCAGCGATGAATCAACATATTTCCCTGTTCTGGGGACTGAAATATATCTTGAGAAACCTCAGTCATGATTTTAGAAAATACATTTTGTTCCTGAGATAATCACATTATCCTAGGACATCATCTCAAGATCTGCAGCTGTTTCCAGGACTTAATTTATCAGAGGTTAACGCCGGGCAAAGCGATACAACTAGCATAGTCGTTGATATTACTGTTTATCATTTATCCCCAAGTTGTGAAAGGAGCTTAGAAAGACCAGCAATGAAGAGGGTGAGTTTCCTTCATTTGTGGAAGGTGTGAGCTGAGGACAGGTTTCATTCATACCTTTATGAAGACCTGCGTGTGGATGTCTTCGGGGTAGGCGAACCAGGCTCGGCTGGAAGGGTTTTCAAGGTGGAACGTGGACTTCCTTCAGAAACAGCCTGACCCGGGAAAAAGAGCAACCCTGAATCTCAGGAGGCAGAGTCAAGTCTGATGTGCACCAGGGCACGGGGTTTACAGACCCCAGCCCCAAAGTCCAGGAGTCCCATGTTAGGTCCAGCAGCTGGCCCCCAGATGCCAAATAAAGAGACATGGTGAAGGAGAGAGAGAGGAGCTCACTGCCACCCACAGGAAGACAGCACTTGGGTCATCTTTCAGGGTACAGGAATTGACCTCAGGTTTCAATGACAAGCCCTGTCATCCCCAGACACCGTACTCCCAGCAAAAAGTTGGGGTTCCCAAACGGGGAGGGGAGGAGAGCCAGCTACCTAAACCCCTGACAAGCAGCCACATGTGGTGTTCCGTGTATTATCTTGAAGCCCCAGGTTTACACCCTTCCTGCCACGGGGGGAGTGTGCACAGGACATCCGTGCAATGACCACGCAGCCTGCCTCCCCGCCCCGCCACCCCCCAGGCCCACGCACCAGGCTGGCTGGCTTAGAGACAGGGTGGGCGATTGGTTACACAAAAGAGGGCAGCCCAAGTAGCAAGCAAGGAAAGGAATTCAGGTTGGCCTTCTCCACTCTGGTGGCAGGGACAGAATAAAATGGGTAAGAAAGGACCCCGTGAGTTCAAGTGACAGGTGCATGGGCACCACTTCATCTGCTGTGTGTTTTTTGAGGGAGTAGTATAGACCTTATTTACATTGTCCCAGCTTTGTCATCCACAACCTCTCCTTGCTCCATATATCCATTGTTGAGGTGGCTTCATAGGTTGCAGTTGCTTCCATGGGTGATTCCCAGCATAATCTCTCTCCCTCCACTTGGGGTGGAGACAGAAGACATCCCCACCTTGTCCCACACCCCAGCCTGGGGGGACGGAGCATGAGACAAATGGGATGTGTTGGGTGTTTAGTGTGGGATCCCGAAGCCCTTGAGCCTGCTCAGCTCCCATCCTTTCCAGTGATGGCAAGGGGACAGGAGGCCCACCCCTGGCTCGCAGCTGTGTCTCAGGAGGACGTCATTGTCATACATCCTTCATCACAACCACCCACTGAGCATTGCCGGATAACTATTCTGCAACTGCTAGTAGAGGGCTAAGATCTGGGCCACCTGGTTTAGAGTCCAAAATGTACCCGTGTCCAGTGTGCAGCCTTTCAGAACCTATGGGCTGTCCCACTAGAGCCAACTCCCCTCACCTCTGCCTCTCTGCACACAAGGAGATAGCTCCGCGTGCAGCTCACATGGCCCCTGTGATTGCGGAATTCTTGCAAGTGACTTTCTGAGAGGCAAGAAGCCAAATGCTTGAGCTACGATGTCAAAGACATCCCCGTTTGTTCCTGTCCGGGAAGTCTCCACAGCAGGGTGTGGAGGACTGGAAGTACTTCTGGGCTCTTCTCTGTGATCTTCTGCATGGCACTAATAGAAGATTTTAGCTAAACCAGAGATCTGGAAACTAGACTTGGTTTAATATAAACTTGAGGCTGATTTTAGATCCAAGTGGGCCTATGGATGCCTCATTACATATGGTCAATGTGTAGCCTGAACCCTGAGGGACTATGATTTCTAGAGGCTGAAAATGAGCCCTGGCAAGCTTCAGAACTGTGCCAGGAACTGTGCTCTGTGTTTGTGCTTTTCCTGAAGGCCATAAAAGAAAAAGCAGGCTCAGCTCCTGGTGGCAGTTCCCTTTCTGAGAAGGACTTTTCCTGTAAACCTATAACCAGAATAAGGAATGAAGTTCAAGCGAAGCTTCACATTTGTTCTGCCCCGTGTAGCACTCTTGGTATTGAGTCACCAGGCTTGTCTAGGTCATTTTTCTCCTAGGTTACAGAAACCTGGGACCTTGTCTCATAGTTATGGTAACCAGCAGAGATGCTACATGGTCAAACATTCCTCTTAAACTCCCTGTGTTCAGTTTGCTCCTTTGCTTCTCTCTGCTCTCTTCGACAGTTTGGGGATGTTTGACAAGTGGTCTTCCAGGCCTGCTCTGCTGTCTCCTTGACCAGCATGGGTCCTGTCAGGTCCTGTCTAGCCTTTCAGTCCACTCACTTAGGTTTTGGCTTCTGCCTCCTGGCTAGATGTCAGGAGAGAGAGATTTACTGAGAGGTTCACACGCCTCTCCTACACATTTTCTTTGCAGTCCCAATGATGTGCCCAAGGTTAACTCTCGCGCGTGCACTGTCTCTTCAAAGTCACCGTGAGCCACTCGAGGCTCCTTCTGGTCTTCTGGCCCTGGCTTCCTCCCCAAGGCTGTCCCCAGCCTCTGTGCCCAGGACAAACCCCAGCCGCCCCTTCTCCCCAGCCTTCACCCTCGGCCTCAGCTGCCGTCTAAACCCCTAGACCTTTCTTTTTATAGCCATACCTTGAAGCTCATATACTTCTTTTTTTAGTGGGTGAATATTTTTAAAACCTCTTTCTTCTTATGTTCACACCCTGGCTCAGCACCCTTGCTGGAAGCCAGGTTTGGGAGACAGCTGATACTGCATGTGGAAAATGGCGTGCTATGACCTGTATTCTCCCACAGGGGGTCCCTCCACAAACACCGCTGGGGCTCTGGGCCCAGTGAACAGTGGTGGGTGGCCATCCTGTGTACTGTAGGGATATTTTCCTGCACCCTGGCCCCTACACATGACGTGGCAGTCGAAACCCCAGCCATGGCCTTGAAGGCTGTGTCTGTCCCCTGCTGCGTGGGGTGGGGGGGAGGTTGACCAAGGAAAGAGGAGTACACTTCATATAGAGAACCACAGTTATAAAAGGATGGCACCCCTGCCCTGAGTGATAGGTCAGCTGTGTAAAAATGAGCACTGGACTGTGGCAGGTTTTTTTTTTTTTTTTTTTGTGGATGTTAGCATTTTGGGCTTTGTTAGAACTCCCTCACTAGACTGAAATCCAATTAAATTGTGTCTACGGTGCACCCTTGTATTTAATAATCATATCCTAAGGAAAAGGCCAAGGCTTCACCTCAGAGTCTCGTCCCTATGTAAGTTCTTTCTCCAGAGCATATACAAACAGCAGAAGGCTGAGGGCAAAGAGAAATCCTGTTTGTGGATTCAGGCATTCAGACTAACTGGTGTTGCTGGTGTCCAACCAGAAAATGGAGTGACATCCACATCCACTCATTTCTCATGGGGCAGAGACCTTTATCTCTTAAGCATTGCTTTCCTAAAGGTTTTGTGTGGGGGTTGGCTTATTTACTTGTTCTGGTGGTACTAGAGCTGTGTAGTCCAGGTCTCATGCTTGCCAGTCAGGTACTCAACCATTAGGATCACACCTTCAGTCCATTTTGATTTAGTTATCTGTTTCAGACTGGAACTTTCATTTTGTGCCTGAACTAACCTTGGAAAGCAATCTCCCAACCTTTGTGTACTATGTAAATGAAATGACAGAGTTCACCACCATGCCTACCTTGTTGACTGAGAAAGGGTCTCACTAACATTTTCCCTCTGATTGTTCACAGTTCTTCCTATCATTACCCCCCCACCCCTCCCATGTAGCTGAGATTACAACTATGTCCTGGTGTGAATTTTCTTTTCGTTCACCTTCAACACATTGGTGACTGTGGCTTAGAGGCATGAATAGACATAGTGAATCTGTTTGCTCTGAATTATTCCTGAAATTCTCCATGACACATGCATCTCATCTATGTAAAAGGACAAAGCGTGGTTCTTGACTTTCTATGCCTAGCTTATTTCATGGGATGATCTCCCTTTCTACTAATGTTGTCACAGTGACAGCATTCGATCATGTGTGAGAGGGAAGAGAATTTTACTGTGTGGGCAACATGTGTCATTCAGGCATTTCTCAGATGGTAGACACATGGATACTGTTCTGATCATCTTAGAGTGAACATCATAGTGCAGATGCCTTCTTTTCACACATGTACTGATTTCATGGCCTCTGGTGTACATCCCAGGTGGGATTGCTGTCCTTGGTAGATCTGTCTTTAGGTTTTTGAGGGACCACCATACTGCTTCCCATAATGGCTATACACATCCTGCCAGCCCTTCATCTTCGCACTTTCTTTTGCTAGTAGTCATTTTAATTGGAGTGAGGCTACATCATAATGTTTATATTTCCCCAGGGGTTAAAAATGTTGACCATATTTTCACGTACATTTTGTTCATATACATGCTTTCCTTTGGAAAATGTCTGTTTAGGTCTATCGATTTTCATTGGATTATTAATTTTGCTTGAGTTTGTTGAGTTTCTTGTAAATTCTGGGCATTAACTCTTTGTTAAATATGTAGTTTACAGGTTTTTCCCCCCATTTTGTAGGTTGTCTTTTCACTCTGTTGATTACTTCCTCTGCTGTGTACTAGCATTATAGTTTGAGACGACACTAATTTGGCTTTTGTTTCTTATGCTTTTCCTCTTGCCCCTCAAAAATCCCTGCTACTCTCTATATCCCTTGTGTTTTCCTCTAGTAGTCCCGTAGTGTCAGGTCTCACATTTAAGTCTTCAATTAAATTTGAAGAGTTTTTAGATTTTATGTTGGGGGTTGAACTCATAGCTTTGAATTTTATAGGCTCTATCACTTGAATCACACCTGCAGTCTAAAATTTTCTAATGTAGACAATCATACATCAAGACTCAAGCTTGTCCTTGAACTATGACCTTGCTCATCTCAATCACCTGGATAACTAGGACTCCAGCCTTAAACCCTTGATATCAGGCTGAAGTGGTCCGTTTAACTGTTAAGACAAGGGTATCCTTTTATCCTTCAGCATGAGGTCATCCAATTTTGCCAGCACCATCTACTGAAAGGACTGTTCTTTCTTCAGTGCATATTCTTCTCCCTGTCCTGGAAACTCAGCTGCAGACATGTGAATTTATTCTAGACTCTGCTCCTTGTCTGGGTGCCTGTTTTGATGCCCGTAGTATACTCTTTGGATTACTCTTGCTTTGTTCTTTTTATCCGAGATTACTTTGTATATTTAGGGTGTGTGTAAAGAGACTTAGGATCATCCTACCGACCCAGTATTTTTGACCTCTAAGCCTTTGTGCACATCTTCTTGGCAGAGCTGTGTGTGTTCTGTGAATGTAAGTCAGGCGACTGAGTGAGGCCCTGATCGGCGAAGGAGAAGACGCGGTGGCTGAGTGAAGAGCATGCCACGGGCAGCAGAGGGAATGCACTTCTCGTGGCCTTGGGACCTGTCAGTGTGGAGCTTCATGGGCAAGCTCCATTGCTTGTAGTATCACTGCAGTGTGGAACCCAGGGAGCCAGGGGAGATGCTGAAGAGAGGTCAGGAAAAGCCAAGAGCAGCGTGCGAGACCAGATCTGCAGGGCTGGGACTTCTGCTTTCCTTCGTTTCCTCCCTCCTTCCCTCCTTGCCTTGCTCTCCCTTCTTTAAATGAAAAGGATGAAGTATTTTTGAGGGCTAATGACTTATAGACTGCCTGAGGACTTCAGGAACCTTGTATAGAAGTCAGCCTCCGAAGTCTAAGTAGTTGTTACATTTTACTTTACCAATACTGCGTAGTTTTCTAAATGCCTTTATTTGGTCCTCAGCTGAATTTGGAGAGGTTTCTGTGCTCCTACATCTCAGGATGTACATAGGATATGTAATTCATTACTCTGGTAAACAGAAAACATCTTAAAGTATTTGAATTTTAATTTTCCAAGATGGATAAGGAAAACATTGAAATTACATTGAAATTATATTGGTTTTTTTCAAAGCTGTAAGGTTGCTTTATTGTGTTTACATTTAGTAGCTCAGAAAACACCGAACTTGGATGAATTGATTTCCCTCCTACAATGAGCAGTCCTATATATTTAACCTATCTAAAAAATTCTCTATGAATATATTTTTAAATGACAAGGCCTACAGTTGATTTTTAGCACTAAATAGCAATGTTATGACAAAAATCTGGTGACTATGATATAATTTAATTAAGGATAATTGTGAATTTATTTGGGATGTAACTAATACTCAATTGGATCAGTGTTATTTCTTCCAGTGTTTTACTCAGGTTTTCAGACCTTTTTATCAGAGAAGAATAATTATTTCTAAAATTCACTTTAGGTTTTGAAACTAACATGAACCTAACTAGCCGGGATGATCCTTCAACATTAGAGATTGCTTCAGAGACTCAAGACAGAAACGCAAATACCAGTGGAATTCAGTTATCTAATTCCCTCTCGAGTGCTGTGACTGCTGAGAATGGGAATCCTGTCTCTAACGGTAAGCTCTTTCAAACCCAGAAATGAACGGATGAAACTTTAAACCAGGGAGAATGGATTTTAAATACAAAACCGCAGTAGGCTTACCAACTGGAAAAAAAATAGGATAGAAACTGTGAAATTCTGGAAACTGCAGGAATTACTGTGGGCCTCTCGTTGCTTAGGCTGCGGAAGAAAAGCTGCAGCCACTTGGCTGCCATTTCAGGTTCTGCAGTGCTGGTCTGTAAGAACCAGTATAAAATTAATCTGACCTACAGGAAATGGATGCTCTTCACTGCTTTGCATTAAAACAAAACATTCTTACAACTCAGCACGGGAAGGAGGAGGCTATGGAAGGAACACAAATGCTAAGCCGTGTCTAGGTGCTTTAAGGGCGTGAGTGAGTGAGTACACAACGTAGAAATTAATTTGGTCATTGCTATTCGAAGTTATATCAACAGATATTTCCTCTCACTCATAAAAGAAGCCTAAGTCTTCTCATAATGGCTGATGATAAAACCCAAACCATTCTTCCTTGAGAACACACAGAGAACTGGACAGAGAGTTTCTGCTCTGCCTGATTAAAGGTGTTGGAGAACTGTCACAGGTTCTGCAATAAGGGATTAGGGGGCAATGTCAGCCTGGGCCTTGTTCCCCCATTCCAGTCTCTTCTCTCAGGAACATAGGCGCTGTTCCTCAGTGTAGAGCAGGCAGCAAGAAGCCCACTTTTGCTTCTGTCAACTGCTATTCCAGGGACAGAGCCTAAGCTGAGGTTCACCCATGGCTAGGCGTGGGGTTTTGAAGAATGCCACCCTAACTTGGTTTACCAGGACCACCAATCAGCTGGGACTCTGACCTCCAAAGTTGGAGCATTGTACTCCCAGGACACAGCAGTGATTATCCTCAAAAACAACAATCATCTTCAAAGTATTCTTTAAAACTATTATTACTTTTTCCAAATATGAAGTCCAACACAATCTAAAAGAACTGAATGCATAGCATACAAGATAAGAAGGAAAGTCATAAATTACTACCAAAAAAAAGTCAGTTGTAGTTTATCCACAGGGACTAAAATGTTTGAAGTTCAAAGACATACTCCTTAAAGAAAGTGTGGCTATGTGGAGGCCTGCTCAGATAGATTTTTTTTTATTAAATGTGAAAATTCATCAGATATGAGAAATCAAACAAAACAGTGAGATAGATATACTGAAATTGATAGAATAGAGGAATCAAATGAAGTATACCAGAGGATGAAATTAAATTTAATTAGACCCAGTTGTTGAAAACTATACAAAAATAACAAAGAAGGAGAGCAAGGTCATCTCTAAAAGGAGCCACGCAGAAGCAAAGGAAAGGAATGGGAGTTGTCTTAGAGACATGATGAGAAGGTCTTTGGATCCTAGGGGTTGGAAATGTTCTGGTGAGGAATGTGAGCGATGTTCCAGGCTCTGGTGAGTGCGTGGAGAAGCCAAGCCCCGGTGGCTGTGTCCTGCCAGGAAGTGTGGAGACCCACGGTGGTAGTGTGTACTGAAGTGTGTGGTTCCATGTGACTTAGGGGTGCTGCTTCACGCTCTCTGCTGGGAAGAAAAGAACACAAGCCCAGCCTCCTCAATCGATGCCAGGATAGCAGTTATCCTCTGGTGTGTGACACGCATCCCTGCACCTGTGGACGGAGTAAGCCAGGGAGTGACTCTGAGCTGTTGTTCTCTGGGTGTCAGCAAGTGGTGTGGCTTAGCTTTACGACTTGTCTGGCTCATCCTGAGCCAAAACAATGGTCATCTTCACACAGGACAAAGGGATAGTGTTTTTACAACTTGGGTGGTTAGTGGCAGGTGACAGAGAGATGCCAGCCTTACCCACTTGCATAGGCCTCTCTGCATAGCACTGTCCCCAAGGGAAAGCTGCCTTCCCCAGACAAGAAGTCCAAGAGTGCTCCTATGAGCTGAGGTTTCTCTATGGTTTTGCCATGGAATGCAGCACTGCTGTGTGTTCTATATGTCGGAAGCATGTCCTCAAATCCAGTCCCTGGTGTCTGAGAGGGCATTCTGAACCGGAGGGCCTGAGCAGGTATAGCTACCACATGGATGAGCTCCACCATCTTCAAGATGGCCCACCCCACCCCCCCTACCCTGCCCCCCGAGTATTGCACAAAGGCCTTACACTGGGCACAGAGGCCTTGCACTGAACCAGTCTGGCTCCAATCACCCTGTAAGTACGATTCTGCATCTCCAACCTGGAGAGACAGAACTCAAGGGACAAGAAGCAGGTGACTGGGTGCAGTGCTGGGCGGTGGCAGGAGATAAATAGAGGGTGGGGGTGCCTGCTAAAGACCAACTGCCCACTTGTTCACATCTGCAAAGGTCAAATCCCGTGTCTGAGCATCCATCCCAAATCTATCCAACCTCAGTGAGACAATATAAATCCCCACATTTCTGCAAAGCTTGAATTGAAAAGTAGAAAGGAGACCACTTGTCAGTCTACCATTAGGAGATGCTTATAAATTAAAGACCAAGCATGAATCTTTAAAGCAGCCAGATGTTCAAAAATGATCAGTTGTAACAAAGGGGCACAACAGAGATCCCAGGAAAAGTGTAATGACATTTTTAACATGTTCAGTTAGAATAACTGTCAACATAGATATTTTACTAATCATAGAAACTTTCCTGTAAAGATCAGAAGGGAAGTAAGGATATTTTTAGAAAATAACAGGAAGAATTCCACATTGGTATGCTCCTAATGCTCAGCAATACTAGAAAGATTTTTAATTTTAAAATAAGGGAAGTCAGGAAGGAGGGAAACTACTGTTTAATATCAAACCCCGATAAATCTAACTTGCCAACTACGCCCCCTGAGGAAAGCCCCGGGAGAATGCAAATAGGGTGCACAGTTTCCAAACTAATCAGAAACATAAAATATAATAATGGAGTCTGAGTATGATGATGTGTACCTGGATACTCAGAAAGCAGAGTTCTCAAACAACAGATATAGAAATAGCTAAATAATAGCGTAAGTAAACATTAAACAAACTGAGCATCTGTCTACAAGGTACACTCTCAGAACTTCTTGTGCAAATTCTCCCAACATTATAAAAGTGAAATAATTCCAGTGTTGCACTAACTTTTCCAGATAATGTGATTAAAAAAGCTGAAGGAGAAAGACAAGAAAAGGCCCCAGCTGGCATAAATAAGCACTTTTCCTCTGTGGGCACTAAAGGCAGAATAACCGACTGTCACTCAGCCAGAGAAAGATGACTTGTGACTGGAACGCCACCACTCACAGCAGACATCCTGTGGGTTATAAGTCTAAATATTAAATAATAAAACGTATACAAGAAAATATAGGAGAGCATCTTATTTATAACTCCTCCCTTCCCTCACTTGTCTTAATTTTAGAGGATAGGCATTGAGAATTATTTTTTTATTAAAGAGAAAAGGAATATAAAAAGAAAGACTGGATGCTGGTGGCTTATGCCTGTAATCTTAACTACTCAGAAGGCTGAGATCTGAGGATCACAATTCAAAGCCAGCTCAGGCAGCAAAGTCTAAATTCTTATCTCCAATAAACTACCCAGAAAAAGCTGGAAGTGGTGCTGTAGCTCAGGTGGTAGAGTGCTAGCCTTAAGCACAATGAAGCTTAGGGATATTGCCCAGGCCCTGAGTTCAAGCCCTAGGACTGGCAGAAAGAAAGAGAAAGACAGACAGACAGAAAGACAGAAAAGAAAGAAAGAAAGGAGGGAGGGAAGGTGGGAGGGAGGGAGGGAGGGAGGGAGGGAGGGAGGGAAGGGAAGAAGAAAGAGAAAGAAAGGCAGGAAGGCAGGAAGAGCTTTATACAAGATGGAAAGGAAGGAGCCATTTACAAAATAGAGAGGGAAAGAGGGTGGGAAGAAAAAAGGGACCGTCCTTGTACCCATATATTTAATCATTCTGACCATAGCTATAGCTTGGGAAAGGGTCTTAATACAAATAGCTGTGAGTTTACCCCAAAATTTAAAACCAAAAGCTAACTGAAGAAGCAACATTCTCTAGACAACACTAGAAACATTCACGAAATATTTTCATAGAAAATCAATACCAAAAAATTAATTCTTTAGTACTATAAAGGTTTTACACTACAATTTGTGAATTGTATGCCTAATCATTTCTAAGTCCATGATATGTAATAAACAAATGACAGATGTGCAGGAAAAAAACTACAATGTGTATAACAAATAGATTGTGTTCAAATCCTGTCACAGACTTATACACCTCCCTTAAACAGAGGAACATGAAAAAAATTAGCAGGCTCTCAGTTACTTGAACATCCGAGAGTAATGATGCACACAGAAGCAATGTTATTTCAGTTAAGGATTCAGTCTCTCGAGGCAGATTGGCATGCCACTGCTGTGCTCTTTTGGTAGATCCCTGGAAGTCCTGGGTTGCGATGTTTCCCAGTAGTTACTGAAAACTAAGCACCTTACTAAGGGCCATGACCCAAGCCTTAATCCTGGCTACTTGGGAGGCAGAGATCTCAAGGTCTAAGTTCAAGGCCAGCCTGGGCCAAAAGACTGAGCCTGGTGGTACAAGTTGTGGGCAGGGTGGCACTTGTCTGTCATCCTCAGAGATGGTGGGAAGCACAAGTAGGCGGATCACAGCCCAGACCACTGGAGCACAAAGCAAGACCCTCCTTCGGAAACAACCAATTGAGAAAGCAGCTGGAGGCATGGCTGAAGGGGGAGAGTGCCTGCCCAGCGAGCAAGAGGCCTTGACTTCAGTCCCAACACCACCAAAAAAGCAAAGAAAACAGATAAACAAACACATGCTGCTTTCACCTGTTTAGATGGCAATCCTCAGTGTACACTTGCTAATTGAGTTTAGTATGAATTTTGCAAATGAGCTAATGAGTGCTAGGGGAAAAAAAACCTTGCCCTACTCAGTACTGTCCAAACTGAACACATTTCTACATAGATAGGACTGCGATAACTCCAAAGGCAATGATGAGCATTGATGCCTAATGTGCATAGTATCATCAATGATCTTTCTAACTAAAAGCACGCGATGAAAGTAAATGTTTAAAATAAAGTTCTACATGAATGAGAAGCCATACTATTTTTCTAGGAAATGATCTCTCCTTGGGATTCCAGGGTCTGTATGCTACCTCTGCCTCCCAGAAATAATTATCTGTTTGTTCATTTGATGAAATATAGTTATGTGTGGGTAATTATAGCTATCACTTACTTTAATTGCCATCCTTTTGCTGATGTTAACAGAGACTTAGATCTCTTTTTGTATACTTAATTATTCCCTGGACTTGTGGTTATTTATCATTAGATTAGAAAGCAGTTCGTAGTGTTAGAATATGTTGGCTCTAGCGAACAAAATATTGTTTATATAAAGATGCTTATTTAGTGGAGAAACGGAGATCTAAAGAAAAATTCCAACTAGGGCACTTTATGATCAGTATGATTTTCTTTCTGGCTGTTCAATAAATATACATTTTATTGCTGAGCATCAGGGAAAAAATAGCAATTAAAGAAGGCAGTTGCTCCATTTGGGCCTGCATTTATCTGTCACCGGGAGGAGAAGGTCTTGTTTTTCTGTGCACTGCACTCAGCCTCTGCACAGCCTGGTTATCTGTGCTGGTCCAGGCTGGCTGAGCAGAAGCCCTGCTGAGCCTACTCACACAGAGCCCAGTTCTTGGTATGCCCTGAATTAATTCCTACACTGTATCGAGTCTGGCCCGGTCAAAACCAAACCCTGGTGAGCTGGGAACCCGCCTCATGGCTTCCATCTGCCACAGCTCAGATAGACGCAACCCGCCATCCAGAGAGCCCTGGTGGGAGTATACATGCATGAATGCACACCGTCGGACATCATCTTGTTTGTGGTAACTGTGCGGATTCAGCTCCCTTCGCCCTTCCACACTCTAAGAATCCCAGGTCCGCAGCAAGACTGCAAGGAAGCTTCCTGAAATCCTTCCATCCAAATGAACTCTGCTACCCCGAGGTTTTGCCCCCCACCCAGTGTTTCCCGCACTCCTACTTCACCTCACCCACCCTCTCATGGTGTCCAATGTTGTTGCCCCAAATGCTAAGCTTCTTGAGGGCCTGGAAAGGCGTTGCTTGGTTCTTGGTTCTCTCCCTGCCTGTTTAGCACCAATTTAATCGAACTAACCTATGTGATATGCATGATACGATTTCTTTGGTCCTGGGTCTGTGCCTTAGAATCAAAACTGAGCTTCTGTTTCAGTTCTAAAAGCAACCTTCTAAATCATTGCTGAGTTTGGAAAACTAGCTAACAATTTTCTTCTGCCTCAGATCTCCTGGCTCGGTAAGAGACCAGTGATCTAGAGATGCATGCTGCTGTGTCAGCCCTCCCTCTCCCCCTACCGCCCCCCCCCACTGCTCCATCCCATAAATACCTCAACAGGTGAGTGAGTCTTAGATGTGGGTCTTAAGCCTGTTTTGTTTCTTTTTGCCAACTCCCTGCCTAGTTGCCTGGAATTGTAAACAGGACCCCATCTTCACTTCCTCAGAATTCCTGAAATTCTGGATTACTTCAACATGAACTCCATGGCTGGAGTCTTACTTGCTGCTATTGCCTCCAGAGTCCCCATGAACCCTCTCCTGATCTCTAGGACATTGCTATGGGTTCTGTTTGAGGACATTCCCTCTCACCAGACCCCATCTGACCTTGTGTCAGGGTCCAGCTGCTGGCCTGTCTCCTGACAGGGAACCCCCTTTTCCTGGGCATATTTGTCCATTTAACCAGAAGATTGACTGGCAGGACCTCCCCAAAGAGCACATGCTCTGCTGTAATTGGAAAAATGCACAGTGATTTTCTAATGATTTTTAATTTAGGAATCATGTATATGTTTAATCAATTAAACTGTGCTCACTAATTATGCTTTCCAAGGAGAGGAGTAATTGCTTCAGTGTTTAAAGTTCTCTAGGTCCAGTCCACCCCGTGGGGCAGTTACTTATCTGTTCATGTTTATAAATCAGGTCTCTTGTGGAGATGCGTGCATGACACCACCCTCCTAACCATTGTAACATGACCAATTTGTCCCTGGGCACCTCTAGCTGTGTTTAGAACACCGTGTCATGAGACAGGGTGCCTCTGGGATCTGGTGCTGGGAGCCCAAGGAGGCAAAGCCTACATAGTAGCCCGGGTGCCCCAGAACAAAGAACTGCACGGCACCCATGCTAGAGTGGAGATGCCGGGCTTCTGTCTTGGACGGTAATCCATGAACATCACTCTGTTTCTCCTAAGTACGGCTGCGTCATTTGGGGAGGGACGGGTGAGTTTCTGGGAGCTCATGGTCACCCTTGTAAAATTGGTTATGATTGGTGCATGGAGGAAGCACGTGCTCTCCTTCCTTCATGGGGCCTCCCTGCTCAGCACAGTAGAACCCCCTGCCGAACACCCTCCCCTACGCCTTACCTTCCTTTCACCTGTGCTCTTCCTCCCTCATCCCTGCGAATGAGGGCCCCCTGCTTCCTGGAGTGAGCAGGGGAGACGTCTTCCTGCCTGCCTTTGCCGTGGCTCCCAACCTGTAGGAAAGCTCCTCCTCTGCCTTCTTTATGCTACCACCGTGTCTTTCTTCTCATCATTCTGTCTGTTACCATATTCACAGCTTATATATGATGTAGTATAACGTATATCTGTCAGCAGATCTTCTCTTTTAGTAAATGAAAAAGGCAGAAATGCTTTGTAAGTCCCATGTTCTGTTATTAAGTTTAATAGTCAACTACTGTTTGCTCATGTTTCTGCCCATGAAAATATGTGTGTGTGTGTGTGTGTGTGTGTGTGTGTGTGTGTTTAAGAAGTACAAAACTGACTTCATTTGGGGTCAGAGACACAACTTAACCGCTGGCTACTGTTGGCCCACAGGTCAGCCTGATGATGACAGCTTCCCCCAGCTGTGTGAGAGCCGCCCCACGCCCCCGCCCTTCCAAAGGCACCGGGAGAGTCACACCACACAGGTACGCATTCATTCGTGCAGAGCAGGTCAAGTGAGCGCCACAGAAAGCTGCTAAGTGCTAGCTGACACTCTTTTATCCTGGGCTGGGTAGCTCTGCCTAGGCTTCTTCAACTTCACACTTTTCTCTCTCCTCTATCTCAGCTGACTCCAATTTTTGGTTTATTTACAATATATATGTGTATGTACATCTATATCTGTATATATAATATACATCTATATATGTGTACATCCATATGTGTATGTACACCTATATACATATGTATGTATATCTGTATATGTATATATATGAGTGCATATATGTACATATGTGTGTATACACACACACATAAAGAAGAGAAAATAATGTCCAAAATAAAATGAATGCTTATTGTAATGGAAGACTCTAGACACAACTTATATGATGGTATTCAAAGTCATATCCGGTGCTAGTGGCATAAAGCTTCCTGAAAGATCTTGATATGTTTTGTGCATGTGGCCTGAGCTAAAAAAGGAGATTATAGATGACCAGAGAAGGGAAGTAAAACCCTGCTGCATCTGCAGTCTTACAGTGTGTCATCAGATCTCGGCATCTCGTGTTCTGTGGCGTCAGCTTCATTTGAGCTACGGCAGCTCTCACTTCAGTGAGGTCCCGCTGAGGACATTAGCCCCAGCCCTTGCTCATACCGCGCATTTCCTGTCAGTGCTCACAGAGTTTGGCTCAGACAGGTCACCATGATAAAGACCGCTCAAGAGCAAATAAAAATACTAGAGAGAGGATCTACGTGATAAAATTAGTGTTGTTTCCATGCCATTGTATTTTCAAAGATTGCTTTTAACAATTATCTTTATAAAAATATACAGTTAAAGTCCATAATACGTACTTGACTACCAATACTTTAAATACTTCTACATAAGCCATAGCATTCTTGCATGAAGCTATGGCATCATTTTGTTTTTTCGATTGTCTACATAAAAAAAAATCTTAACAAACTGGGCCAAGTCTACATATTCCGTGAATCAACTGACCAACAAACGATCACTTTCACTGGAATATTCGGATTGTATAGGCACAGCCACATTATAGGTGCCAAGTTGTTGGGGTTTTTTTTTTTAAATAACAATCATGAGAGAGTGACGAAGATCAATAATTTTAATCTTAAAAATAAATCTTATAGTCTGCTGACATCACTCACTGACCTATTGGCTGTGGCGATTGCTGGTGATAACAGATTTCCCTAATCTCCCTCCCTGCCTTAGAGATGCTTCCCAGTACATTGTAAGCGTCTGGGAGCTCCTGGGAGAGCTTGCTTTCTGTAGTGAACACTGCTTTGATTTTTGTTACTCCTCTGTGTTAGAGCAGGATCCAGGCCATCCACGCCCTCCTTAGGCCTCTGCTACAATGTGGGCCATAGAGAAAAGCAGTGATTTTTTTTTTTTAGGTTTTATTTTTTTTTAATTTTTTATTTTATTCTATTTGTGAACATGCTGTACAGAGGGGTTACAATTACATGGGCAGGATAATGCATACATTTCTTACCAAGCATTGCAGCCTCCTCCTTTGTTTACCCTTCACCTCCCTTCCCAG